CGCTGTTCTGTGCCTGAGTCACTGCTGGGAAGGAATAACTCGTTAATTAGGTGAGCATACTCCATTTTGGCATACAAACATATCACGTAGAGTAGAATATAGTTATAATTGAGGAATATACCTCTGATTCTTTAATGTTCTAGTTTTTTACTTCTGTGTATGTATATGTGTGTGTGTCTGACAGTTCAAAGACAAATTATTATCAGCATCTGCTTCTTTGACCAGTCAAGGACTATTGACAGCTGTTCTGAGCTTAGGTTCCTGGTAAAGTCATCTACTTTTGATCTCTCTTTCCTATTTAACTGAGCAACTTTATATGTATGCATATATATCACAAATTAGTTTTTCAGAAAAGATATAGAGAATAAGTTCAGTGGATGTCTGTACTTGAAGACATGAGTACTTCACATTAAGTAGCCATTTTAATCCTCACAACAACTTACAAGGTTTTTAGTCCTCATTTAAAAGATGAAAAAACTGAGGCACAGAAGGCTAAGGAACTAGCCCAACACTACTTAGACAATGTAGTGGAACCAAGATTGTAATCCAGCCAATCTGACTTCAGAGTCTGTAATCTTAAAAAAAAGAAAAAAGTCAGCCAAAGCCCCAAATAACTCATTTCATATGAGAGTGGTAAGACCCAGTTCTCTCCCCACTCAATTCCAAGCATGAAGGAAGGATTTCAAAGATAAACAACTACTTCCCTACACAGTAAGAAATTGTGAGGGACACCAGCTGGTCCCTTGCTTATCCGATACAAGCCTACAAAACAAAAGTTCCTGTAGTCATCAGTATTTTGTCATTCAGGTCTTACTACCCTTAGGCCAAAGGGACTTGCATATTATGAGTACTGAGTATCCAGGATCTGAGAAAACATATTTAGGATTTTGTTAAATTAAATTGCTTAGTCTCAAAGTGGGTATTACAGCTCCCTGCAAAATAGCAGGCAGATGATATGCCCAAACATTATTGACAAATAACATATATACAAGTAATATAAATTGTTAATTTAATAGCATTAGTTTATTTTGCTACATTTGAAAAAAAATTATACCTTGGTAGGTAAAAGTTACTTCTAAAGGAATATTAGTAAAGATTTTGCTTTTAATAAATTCCTTTTACTATCTTTTTCTTGCATTTAATGAAGAAGCAGTCTCACCAAAATTCTTTTAATTCTTTCTGGGCTCTACAGACATAAGAAGTTGTAGATACACAACTGGATCAGACACCTGGGTTCTAAGATTTGGCCCTGCCACTAAGTCAGTCTATGACTGGGCAAATCTCTGAGGCTCTGGGAACTGAAGTTCCCCCGTTTGTAATATTAAGGAGTTAGACTCAGTGGTCAGTGAAATACTGCAATACATTTGACTCCTGAACAACGCGGAGCTAGGGGCACTGAACCCTGTACAGTAGAAAATCCATGGAACCTCACACAATTGAAAACTTTTGACTCCTAAAAACTTAACCTCTAATAGCCCACTATTGACTAGCAACTTTACCAGTAACATAAAACAGTTGATAAATATTTTTATGTGACATGTATTATATATTCTTATAATAAAATAAGCTAGAGAAAAGAAAATGTTAAGAAAATCGTAAGAGAAAACACATTTCTGGTACTCTATTTACTGATACTGTAAGTTTACGTTGTCTATTTATAAGATGAATTTTCTGTCAGTACCTATGCTGATACTGTCTTATATGATGCAAAACACTTTAGATGTTAATATGATTACTAACACTAGACATCAAAAATGAAAGGCTAATGTGAAAAAGAAATTCATATTTATTTACAGGTATAACAATTCATGAAGTGATAACAAAGAAATGGCAATATGATTGCTTCATCCTAGCCTGTACATTAGTGAATGAATCATTAAAATATTTTATGGCATACATTATTACATTCATAACTCGTAATATAGTGTGAAAAACATTATTACACATTTTTAAAAAACCACTTACCTGTGATGATAGGCTGAGAAATTATGGAGAGGCATCCTGTTCGATAATGTAATTCTTTGAAAGCAATGTTATAAAATGGTAGGAAAATTAACACAATTTTAATTTTACATTAAATATCACCCACCTTATGCCTATGTAAGGACAGGATATCCACTTCCGTACAAGTCTTGCACGCAGTTTTCTACACAATGAATAGTTAAGGAGTGGTGATGACACAAAAATCTTACAGTTCTTCCCATATAATTATTAGACTTTTACACAAAGATAGTCACACATACACACAACAGATAAAATTTATTAAGTGCCCCGCACAATGATTATTCACTGTCCATTAAGTGGAAGGGGATCATCATAAAGGTGTTCGTCCTCACTGTCCTCCTCTGAGTGGGCTGAGGGGGAGGAAGGGGGCTGGTCCTGCTGCCTCAGGGGTGGCAGGGGTGGAGGAGTGGAAGGAGAGGCAGGGGAGGCAGGCACACTGGTGGAACTTTACATGACTCCTGTCCGAATTTTTTGAGAAATTAAAATATTTCTTTAAAAATATTTCTGTGTAGCACAAATCCTTCTTCTACCATTTGCTTTAGTTTCAGTATCCATATCATAGAAGGTTCCATGTCATAAAAGAAGTCAAAAACATGTTAAATAACCAGAACCCTTTTGCCAGATTATCTACAGTCAGTGTGTTCTGGCCCTGCTGCTTCTCCCTCCCTCTTCCTCATCATGCAGCACTGCTCCGGAAGCCCTCACCTTCATCCCTCTCACTGTGCCTTTTTTGCCATATCCACAATCTCTTTTATGCTCTCATGATTGGCTCTGTCGTAAACCCTATGAAGTCTTGTACATCTGGACAGTTTACTCCAGGAGGAATTTATTGTTTCAGGCTTGATGGCTTCCATGGCTTTTTCCATAACAGCGATGGCAGCATCTTCAGTGGTGTGATCCAGATTTTCACAATGTTCTATTGGGGTTCTCTTCATACCATCAGTAATCCTTTCTATAGAATACGTGTAATGAGCCTTAAATGTTATTGCCCCCACCCCCTCGATCTAGAGGCTGAATTAGAGATGCTGTGTTTAGGGGCAAGTAGACCACTTTGACACCTTCCATGCTGAATTTATGAGGTTCTGGGTGGACAGGGGCATTGTCCATTATCAAAAGAACTTTAAAGGTAGTCCCTTACTGGTAAAGTACTTTCTCACTTCAGGGACAAAGCATCAATGGAACCAATCCAGGAAAAGGGTTCTCATCCAGGCTGCTTCTTATACAGTCAAAGTAGCGGCACCTGGAATTCATCATTTCCCTTCAAGTCTTGGGAATTAGCAGCTTTATAGATAAGGGCCAGTAGAGTTAGCACATCCCCTCCCGCCTTAAATACTGGCACTTGCTTCTCTTCCTTATTAGTATCTTTTGTGGGTTTTTTTTTTTCCAGAATAGGGAACTTGCATGTGTATTAAAAACCTGTTCAGGCAGATACTCTTTCTCCTCAGTGATTTTCTTAATGGCATCTGGGAACTCATCTGCTGCTGCTCAGTGCCCCGAAGCTGCTGCATCTGTTATCATGTCATGACATTTTTTAAGGCAAACTTCTAAAATTATCAAACTATCCTCTGTTGGCATTAAATTCTCCAGCTTTAGATCCTTCACTTTCCTTAGGCTTCAAGTTTTCATATATAATGACTTTGCTTTTTCTTGAATCATTATAGTCTATAGGCAAGCCTTTCTTATAGCAATCGTGCACCCACATAAAAGCTGCACTTTTAATATTAGATAAAGAGATATTTTGAAAAATGCAAGGTCTGTCCACTTGCTGGCACAGCTGCATTGATGGCTTCACAAATTTTCTTCTTTTACTGGTCCTTATGCCAGCTTCATTTTTTCTTGAAACGATGCAACCACAGCTGTAAACATAAATCTGTGGTACGTACCAGCAATTCAACTTCTTCATTTCATATAATGTTACAACTTTTCTCTGCTTCTTAGGAGCACTTACAGCATCAATAATGGTACTTTTATGGGTCCCATGGTTTTATTCAAGGTTTATGGTATTGTACTAAAATAAACATGGTGAACATGTGAGGACCACAAGATCATTTTTTACTTCAGTACACAATTTACTGGAGAGATGAGCTGCTCACACAGAAATGATTAGCATCACATGGAGTTTTACAGGGATACAATATCTGAGCTCATCACAATAGCAACAGGAGGTGGCTATGAAATTATTACAGTATATACTACAGTTAACTTTGTGTAGTTATGACTGAGTACTGCATCTCTGTTTACATCTCTCACCTGAAGAGTACCATGTACAGTAAGTTTGTATGCATAAGTTTTGATACATTTTATATCAGATTTGTATTTTATTGTAATGGTAAAACTGGTATCTACATATATTTTATGGATTCATGGTATACCTTTTTCTTAATTTTTTTAGTATTTCCACGCTATATAGTTTGTGAGTTTTTTCCAATTGTCACAAGTTTCCAAAAAATTTCCCAATATATATATGGAAAAAAAATCCTTATAAGCAGAGTCACACAATTCAAACCCACGTTGTTCAAGGATCTACTGTAATTTTATCTGTATACTTATGTACACCTAAGACAAGATACCAGATAGAATTTAGTTTGAGCCACTTTGGTATTTTGTAATGAAAAGGGTAAACTGTTAAGATTTTTAAATAGAACACTGTTTTGGAAATGACTTTGCCAAAATTTCATTAAGGACTTTAACAGAGACTGAAATTCAGGTAGCCAGACTGACATGATTGCTCCCACTCTAAACAGATTTTCAGGGTTGGTTGATCTACTGAATCAGGATCTATTTATGTAAATGTTTATTTATTAAAACATGGAAATTCATAGAAAATAAACGTAGGTCTAATAATGTCAACAACTGGATACAGTCTGAAAAAGAAAAGGAGCATCCCTGGCAGCTATGGCTGAACTGTCTTACTCCAAATCTAGACAGGATGATGTTTAGGGGTGGTTTTTTTCCCCTTACAAAACCTGCCAAGACAAATGGTTTAAGAGGTTCAATTTCCAGAAATCAAATTTCCAGAGCAATCTGTATTACCACAATTGAAAAGGAAGATTTGAATTGAGCTATATTTTTTTAATGGGGCATTAGTCAAAACTACATATACTAAATTTGCCTAAATTCCAGTGTAAAAACACTTAAACTTTTATGAATTCTCAGTTAATCAAGGTTACATTCAACACTTTTCTAGTTTTATTCATCTATGTTTTAGAGAAGTGGTCGCTAGTATTTTCTGTAATGTTTGTTTTATCTGAAGTAGTCAAGAAACAGAGATGCAAGACTTAACGACTAAACCAAAACTTCAGAGACCTAGCTACACTGGTGTTGTTTGGAATTACCGAATTCATCCTATAACATTTACTTAAAAAGTTGTAAGTTGGGAGTTTACATGCCCCTCCCCTACCAGTGTCTTTGTACCAGCCTTTAGATAGTCATTAAAAAGGTCATACATTTAGGCTGGGGGTACTTGTGAGTAATTAACCATCGATAGCTTCCTAGACAGTCTATTTGATGGCTCTTGGAACACAGTGTCTGGAGAGGATGAAAAACCCAAGTAAAGTAGCAGCACCAGCTCTGCTACAGCCTCGAGCCTTAAAAATCATGACCAAACATTGCTAACTTTTGACCATTTACTAAGTCACTTGTTTTTTCTGTTACTGCATTCATTCCTCATCATCCTGGTTGACGTTTTCAGGCAAAAAATTTACTTTAATTCCATCATGTTTTGCTTTTTATTTAATGGAAATAAAATTAGATAATCAAATAATGATGATTGACATAAAGTACTTTCACAAAAATTCTTATTTATTATCTACATTTTTTAGTTTAGAAAAGATGCAATGACTTATTCAATATTATACAACTAGTAGTTGGCTGAATCAAAAATTAAGCCTGTAAAGGAATTCTTTCACTGAACAAAGCAAATGAAAATAAAAACTTATATCTGATGGAGTCAGTATGTGAATACCAGTGACTTAAAGTGTATTACATAAGATATAAAGACTTCACTTGAATGTGGTTGTTTTTAGGAAGGTAGTTTTTTGTTTTAATACAGAGTACAGATGCCACAGTGTATTACTGAGGTTTACAATTTCCTTCCATTCAGGTGCCAGCAGAGATGTTAGGCAGTACCCATTTGGTGGCCTAAAAAACAGGTAAAAAGAGAGTGTAAAAAAAAAAAGGAAATATGCAAAAGGAGGATAAATAAGTGAATGAGATAAAGAATAATGATCAGTTCTTGGCTAAACCTAGGATGATGATCTATTTGTAGAGTTTTTATAAGATCCAAAGAAACAAAATAGAATAAAAATGCTTTTGTTTTTGGCTTCCTGAGGTGGCTGAACTTTTCAGGAGCCTGTACAATCTGGCAGTTGGTCTTATAAAAGTTAAAGTTTTTCCCATTACTGAAGATTAGTTCAAAGTAACAGGAGATGAACTTGTAAGTCAGAATGCCACCTTATTAATTCATGAGGGGAAGCTTTCCATTATTAGAAATGAATTGGAGAAATACAATAAACAAAGAATAAACATTATACAAGGTGGTGACTTATAAGGAAAAATACACTGGTACAGGGAGAAAGAGAATGACTGGGCTTGCCATATTGCACATTAATTTTTGTACGTCCTGCACTGAGCACTCAATAAATATTTGTTGGGTGAATGAACAAATATATGAAAACATCTTATGGTAGCTTCTATTTCATTGGTGACAGTGATAATACTTTAGCTAAGGAGACTGATCTAAGTACAGTGGCTCTAAATTCTGAAAAGTGAGAACAGTAGCATTAAAGACTAGAATATGGAACAGTAAAAATAAAAAATAATCAAATTTTAACATCTGATCAAATTGGAGTAAGGGAAGGACACAGAGAGCAAATAATACAAGAGAACCAAAAGGACAAGGCTAGCAAGTCTGTGCCCTTGTTCTAGGTTCTTGAGATATGGCTGAAAGAAATTTAGAGTCTTTTGGCGATTCTGTTCACACAGACTCCTACTTAAGATTTCAGCAGCCATGCCCAGGGAAGGCCCCTGGGCTAATTATCTGCCTACAAAATACAGAAGATGGCTGTGTAGTTGGAAATATAGTGAGAAGAAGGATCAGAAAATGAATCCTGTCTATTGACCCATTGTAGAAATCCTAAAATAAACTAGTTTATCTTCAGGGCAGGTTTTAAAAGAAACAATACTATTAAACCTGAAATTGCTTTGAGAAAATATCTCACATTCTGTTCTCTGAAAAATGCATTAAAAAATTATACTTACCCTTTGTTGATATGCAAAATGCCTGTTTCTTAGACTAGCCGTTCCTAACCCTGAGGAAAGAAGGTTCCAGGGTGATATCCTATATCATCTACACCTGTCTTCTATTTTCTATTTCTACAAACACACACACATATATACACACACAAGACCAGATTTATAAGTGGCAAATGTATAGGAAAAATTTGTCATCACATTTCTAGAGTTAAAAAATACATCACCTTTATGGTACGTAAAAATCAGATATGCTTAAGGAAGTAAACCTGACCTACTCAAGGCAGGTTGAGGTCACGTTTGTGAATGTTGAGTAGCATCCAACAGGCAGCAAGGCATGAGAACATATAAGAAGAGTATTTCTTTAAGAGGAGAGTGTAAAGTTCCTTTGTTAAAATTAGGAAAAGGATCACAGAATTTTACACTTGAAGCATAGAGATGTTTTGTCTTCTTTTATAGAAAGGGAGAACAAAGATGAAAACAGGTAAGAAAGTCCAAGAGGCTAAGTAGTCAAAGCCTATCCTTATCCCTTTTTCAGTAAATTTTTTCCCTCATAAAACAACATTCTGGAAAGATAGAATAATAGTAAATCACTAGCAAAGTAATGAATCGCATGCCAATCAGAAGATTCTAGATAGGGAACTCACAAGCAACAGGTAGATAACAAAAACATTTGACATGAAACTAGATTTTGGTTCAGATTTACAAGTCCTGGAGGAATGTCAAGTCTAAGACACAGATTCTGGTTGGTTTTACATGGAATGGCCCAATGAGTTCTAAAAAAAAAAAAAATCAAAAGATAAATAAAAAAGTAGTTAAGGGTTAGCGAAAGATAGCAAATAATTTTAATTTCTTAGAAGATGGTTAGAATCAGACTGCCTGGATTTTAACTCTTATCACCCCAGGGAAGTTATTAAACTTTTTATGCCCTCACTCCTAAAATAGGAACAATCATAGTCCCTTATGGAGTTACCATAAAGTTTAAGTGTGTGTACATCTTATAAGAACATGTAGCATAGTGTGGAACACAGTGGACATTCAATATATATTATCTACTGTTTTATTATCATTAATTATACTGCTAAACCCAGTTAAAGTATTTTTAATTTTAAAAAAATGAGAAGGCACCCTCATCTCTCCACTGATCCTATCTACAACATTACCCAGGTTTTACAAACCGCATAGCATAGGTCTCTCTGCCTACCACTTTCAAGTAATTGCAGACTCAAGCTTTTTGAGGGAAGGAGGAAGCTTTTTTTTAAATAAGCTTTTTAAACCTAAGTGGTGCCAGAAAATAATTACAAACTATTCACCAGCATGAAAACATAATTAATCATTTCATACCTAATGTTTATTAAATAATCAAAATCAATTTTGGTGAACTGTTTTTAATCCTTCTATCATTTTCCCCCTTCTAATAAGTTCATATCTCCAATTTTTAATTAGCAATCAATCTCCCATTGTTTATAGTTAAGTCTAGGTAAAGATTTTTAAAAGCTTACTTTTATTGTTTTGGTTCAGAAGCATTTGTCTACCCTGTTACAGTATTTTTTTTGTTAAAAATAGAATTTGTGGATATAGTCCAATATCTCATCAGACAAAAGATTGCATAGTTTCTGTAGAAACATAGCTTCTGACACCATTTCAAAATAGAACTCCAAAGATAGTGCATTAGTGGAGATATAAACTTAGATATATATTACTACATAAATAAAACATAATATTCTTTATACATTAATCTCACGTCTGAGCCAGACACGAAAGGATGGAAAGTCTGAATTCTGTACTCACATAATCAACAGTCTGTGGAAACTCTGGGAACCATGCCACTGGTCTCCAACCTAGCATACTTGGGAAATGACACATTCTTTTAAGAAGAACTCCTTCCGGAAATGAGTGGGTCACAAAGCACACCACTGAATGTCCATAAACTCATTTTATGAATGAAGTGCATAAGATATACGGGCTCTCAGCTGCAGACTTAGTAAGTATGTCATAATTTCTCAGTCTTCCTTCAGTTTATATTATGGTGATGGGCAGATACAACAGAACTCTAATGGGAAAAAGTAACCATGTTGGCCATAAGAATATTGCCCCAGGCCATTTCATACTTATTTTTAATCATTTTTTCCATATTTATCCCCACTCCGGATCAGATTTTTCCACCTGCCCCTCCCCAACAAAAGAAGAAATGGTAAACAAAAAAACACGTATTTAATCAATTTTATTCATACTATCCATGAAAAGCAGTTACATTTTTACATAGAATCATTAACACACAGATCAAGAGAAATCTTAAGATTAATATACCTAATTAGACACACAATACAGAAAATAAATGTGAAAAATAAAAATAGCATATTTTAGTGATTAAATTTATACTGTATTTTCTACTTATTTATAGCAGCATTTGTTAAATTCTTCTATTTGTTAATAGTTAACTAGCAGCAAAATTTTTTAAATTACACAAATTCAGTAGATGTTTCCCTCTATTGTTTCATTCACACAGAATTTATCACATTAACCAAACAAAATACTTCTGTTTCCTGAAGAAAAAAATAAGTCATCAGTTTCCCCTAAAAAGGACAAAGGGAGGAGTAAGGAAAGAAGCTGAAAAAAATTTGCATGCAGTTACCAAAAAATAAATTCCCAACCACCTTGGCCAATTATGGGTATATTTTTTGGAGTGACCCATGTGTGTGTTAGTATTAAAAAGCTATGTTAACTTTTTATTTTCTGACTTTCTATTTCAGTTGAAAAATATGTGGAAGTTTCCAGGAGGCCTGTCAGAGCCTGGAGAAGATATTGGTGTGTATGTTACACATTTTTAATTGGTTTAAAAATGTTGGGGAAATTTGTGTGTTCATTTTCTTGCTCTAGAGCTGGGTGGGAATTTAAGATTTTAAATTTTCTAACTAGTTCAGACTAAGTCAGAAAATTTCAGAGCAGTTACTTCAGGGCTGATGTAAAATTAGCAGCTAAACTTCTAACACTACAACTTACTGTATTAGTATAAATAATACCACTAGAAGCACACCAGGTATTCTGTTTAGGACTGCTTTCAATTATTTTGAAAATGAGAAACTTTGACATATATCAGTAAAGTTTAGCATTAAAGGCTATTTTGGATATAACTGAATTGTTGGAATTAAATTATGAGAAAACACAAATTCTTGACCTTTCATCACACAGTGAATACTAACTTTTAAATGAACTTTGAAATAAGTATTATTCATAAAGCAAGTTCTGGCACAGTGATGACATAATTCTTCTCCTTATTGAAATTCTATCTGCTATTTATGTTGAATGGTCAGGAAGCCAAAACATAGTAAAATGTCTCATAAGAAAAAGTCTCAAGTGAGAGATAACAACTTATTGAGCTCAATACTTAAGACAGGAAAATATGAAATAAGCTAAAGCTCTTTATGTCACTGATTTTATAGGAAATAGATTAAAGAATAGAAACTTCAGTTTTTCTACCTAGTCTTTACACCTCTGGGCCAAATGCTGTCCACATCATAATCAATAGATGACTCATCTGGTACCACTATTATTTCTCCATGACTCTTTCCTCAATATGTAGGCCTCCTATTCTTTTTTAGCCAACATTTATACGAAGACAATTTCCCAAATGATCTTTGAATATTTTATTTTGAAATATATATATACCTAAAATTTGGTTTATTTTAATGTTATACAGATTTAAATGCTCTACAGTACATAGCCAACTTCTAACAACTCATGAGTAAATTTATGTACATTCAGACACATCTACAGCAAATTTTGCTTTTTAGGTACTCACTGTCCTTTGGTTAGATTTTGCTAGGTCTTCTGTTGAAATAAGAGAGTATTTTGTAGTGGTGTGAGAGCTGAAAAAGGCCATTTATTGT